GGCTGGGACTCAAACTGCAGTCAGCCATGTGGGAGTCCAGTGCCCTAACCACCATGTCACCGGCTGATTATCTTTCTTCCCTCCCTCCTTCCATTCCTTTTTTTTTTTTTTTTGCCAGAGGGTACATGCACTCATGAGTCAGAGAAAGAGAGAAGGAGAAAGCACTCTTCAATGAGGTGTGGTCACACTGCAATCTCTTCTCCTCCACTTCTCCATCTTGTGGCATTTAGGGCACACATGCATACATGTCCAATGTGTTTCTCAAGCTGCTGGGGCCAGGATTTGAACCCCACTGTTGGACATATGGGACTCAGCTCCATTAACCACCACCAGGCCACAGAGCCAGCCCTTGTTTCAGTTCTTATACTACAAGCGGGTATCCTGTACACCATCTATGTGGGTCCATATCTTTCCGCATTTTTGTGTTGCTGACTTCACTTTTGAGATGGTTCCCCAATAAAATGAAACACTCTGAGTAGCTGACCCACAAGGAAATGGGTTCCAGTTTTGAGCCCAGAAACCTCTGAGTTTGCTGGGCATGCATGTGCCCATGATATAGGGCTGGCTGACACAAGGGGTGCATCATTATTCAAGATCCTGTTGGGAGTGGTATTTCTCTCTCTCTTGCTCATTAAATAAATAAATAATAAACTTTAAAACCACAGTTAAGAGTCTCAGACCTAGTGGACTGAAAATCATGCTGGGCACATGTGTGCTTATGCCCCAAATCCTAAGAGGAGACTGGAGAAGAAAGGATTGAGGCATGGCCATCCACCCTGAGGGGGGATGAGTTCTCACTTCCCCTCTGTTTCTCTCTCTCTCTCTCGAGAGTGTGCACATGCCCTGTGGCAAAAAAAAAAAAAAACTCACTAAAGAAAAAGCCCCCCAAACAGTGTTAGTCTTCCTAAGCTGAGGAAGGCTGTGCTGTGTCTCATGAGAAAATGTGTGTGTTATATAAGGTATGCTTAACCATGAGGTAATAGTGCTGTTGGCTGTGAGTTCAATGTTAATGAATCAGCAATATACACTATTGGATTGTCAGAAAAGTCATGACACATTTTTGCATAGAAAAATAAGTCATGACTTTTCCAAACACCTGACAAATAAGGTATCTTTAGATAGAAATATACATAAATAAGGTTATTTATCAGTTAATGAAAATACTGTTGATTGGAGACCTGCAAGAATCGAATCCTGCATTTGTCCTAGGAGTAGCAACTTAGTATTTGCAAAAAATGGTAGCTTTATGGGACATAATTACCATGAATTATGAGAATTAATTGTATTAGAAAAGAAGAAATACATAAACTTAGTAACACTTCACTTCACAGGTAATGTTACGTATATCTTATTGCATCACATCAGGAGAAACACATCAGGCTGTCTGTCAGTGATGCTAAATTTGACCCTTTTATTAACATGGTGATCACCAAATCTCTGTTGTTAAGGTACACTTACCCTTTAAACTAGAATGCAGAAATATCCTATTTCTTTGTAGCTTTTACCCCAATAGTTTCCTTTTATTATTTTTCTTTAGGTTTCTACCATAGGGTGCTCACCAGAGAGAGAGAAAGAGACAGAGAGAGGGAAAGTGAGAAATCATCTCCCAAGGGAGGATGGCCATGCCACAATCCCTTTTCCTCCATTCTCCTTTCAGGATTTTGGGCACGCATACACTCATGCCCAGTGTGAGTTTCAAGCCACCAGGTCCAGGACTAAAACCACAGTCTGTCTTTTGGCAGTCCAGTGATGCCACCTGCTGGCCCCAACCCCAACAGTTTTAACATCCACTGAAAATATTGGGTTGTCAGAACAGTCATGATGCATTTTTGAATAAAAACCACAGAAAAAAATATGTCATGACTGTTTTGACAACTCAATATATTTGTCTTAAGTCTTGGATCATCAGAAAAGTTATGACATATTTTTTCATGTTTTTCTATGCAAAAAATGCATTATGACTTTTCCAATGACCCAATAATTATTACACTGGGGTTTAGAAATGATGATTTTTCAAAGTCAATTTGACATTTAACAGTTCACAATATTCAGTAAAGAGCAAATGGGGACCAGCAATTAGTATAATGGCTATGTCACTGGACTCCCATGTAGTCAACTGCGTTGAGTGTCCTGAACCCAGTGGCTTAAAACTCACGCCGGGCATGTGTGCATGCGTGCCCATGATCCCAAGAGGAGAATGGAGGAGAAGGGATTGTGGCATGGCCATCCACCCTGGGGAATGATTTCTCGCTTTCTGTCTCTGTCTCTCTCTGTCTGGCAAGTGCATGTGCCCTATAGCAAAAACCCCTCCAAGAAAAAAAAAGAGCAAATGAGCATTCCATTATTCCCTCCTTTCTCCTTTTTTGTTAGTAACTACAAAGGCATAGATTTCTGTTGTTAAATTATCACCTTCTTTATTATTTTTGGTGGTCAAACTGTCCCAAATAGCCATTGGATAAATTCCTTCAAACTGACTCCTGTGATCTTTTGACATCTCAGCAATCTTTGAGTACTGCCTGTAAGCATCTCTAGTTTTTATGACTTGCTTATGTGTTTATTTGCTGAAATTCCTGTAACATTTGTTTATTTCTCTTACTCCTACTTTTTGAAGCAACAGAACACTTTTTTATTTTTAAGAGAAATTTTTGCTATAAGGGCACGTGTGCTTGCTGGAGAGACAGAGAGACAGAAAGTGAGAAATCACCCCCCAGGAGGGATGGCTACACTGTAATCCCTTTTCCTCCATTCTCCTCTCAGGATCTTGGACACACATGCACACATGCCTGGCATGAATTTCAAGCCACGAGGTATGAGACTCAAACCATGGTCTATTATGTGGGAGTCCAGTGACTTAATCATTATGCCATCTGCTGGTCCCAGCAACAGAACATTTTATTATTCCATGTGGAATGTTTTGGTTGGTGCAATTCCATGTGGAATGTTTTGGTTGGTGCAATTCCATACTACTTTCTGAATATCATAAAACTACATAAACCATTAAATTTAGCCTCATTTCATTCCTAATCCTCACACTTTAGGATGCCTAATACATTTATTACTTGATTCAATTTCCAAAAGCTGCGGAGGGTTTAAAGATTCACTTTCAAGGCCCATCAGAATGACCAGAATGTCCTTATATCAAAATGGCTGCATCTAAGGGTCCAGGTCATAATTTCCTATATATATTCTGGGGTAGATTCATGTACTGAGTTGTTGCAAGTCCTTGCTACTATTCAGTCACTTCAGAAGTATATGAGATGAATAGATGAATGGATTGAAAAAGTGTGGCACATATACACTACAGAATAATACTCAGCCATAAAAAACAATGAGACCCTGGCATTTAATAGAAAGTGGACAAATATGGAAGATTTACTGCTAAGCAAAGCAAGCTAGACTATGACATAAGAGGCATTGCATGTCCTCACTCTCTATATACCGAATGTTGGCACTCTATGGCAGAAACTAAAAGAGTGGTAGGTATAAAAGCATGGTGAGTGATAGTGTTACTAGAGACAGTGTGGGAAGGGTGTGGAAAATGGGGGAGGTTGATAGGGAGGGGATCAAGGGGGAAAAGAAAAAAGTAAAATATTTTAGGGACGCAAAAATGGAAAATTATCTGTTGATAATGTGTATGGCAGTGTCTTTGACTGAACCAATATATAGTGTATTCATGATGAGAAAATTAATTTGGTATGCTGTAATGACTGACTGAAGGTTTAAAAAAAAGCCAACTAAATAATGCATATAATCAATCTTCTTTAGAAATTATTTTTAAAAAGAAGTATATGAGATACTATAATAATAATTAACAGCTGAGTTACACCTAGCATTACTTATTACAGTTATCCAAACAGGGAGCAGCAGATGGTGAAATGGTTACATTGCTGGACTCCCATGTAGTCAATCATGGTTCGAGTCCCAGACCTGAAGGCTTAAAACTCACACTGGGCACATGTGCATATGTACCCCAAATCTTGAGAGGACAATGGAGAAGGGATTGCAGCATGGTCATCACCCACGGGGTGGGGGGGAAGTGATGTCTCACTTTCTGTCTCTCTGTCTCTGTCTCTGCAGCAAGCACACACATCCTATAGCAAAAATCTCTCTAAAAAATTATCCAAACAATTTTCCAACATTTTCATACTGGTTTTGGAGATTATTATAGCTTTGTTATACATAAAGAGCATATAAATGAAGATGTGATACTGGTTTTGGATTTTATTATAGCTTAGTTATACATAAAGAGCATATAAATGAAGATGTACCCCCTCTCTAGGATAGACCAAATCAGCATTGCATATTATTATACATATTTGCTCAGGCCAGTCAGAAAAAAACCTGATGAGCCTTGAGTAAACAATGTCTCCATTCTGAACAGACAAATAATACTTTGTCCTCCAGAATCAGTACACCTTCAAATACAGATAAGGAGACAGCAACCCTTCAGGAGGACACACAAACCACGGTTTCTCACTTTGCAGACATACATCCAGTATCTGAAATTGATTGGTGGCATTCATTGGTTGGAGAAAGAATCCTAATTATATATGGGAAATTATAATCAATCATACTAAATAAATAAAATAGTATACCACTTTACTTATACTTTTTATTTCTTTTCTAGTATAGTCAAAGCACATTGAAGACAAAAATCTTTACAGAGTGATTTGCAACTCTGGGTAGAAGTATGAAATGTCCACTTATTACAGTATAAAGATACAATGATAATAAAATAATTAAAAATAATATGCAATAATAAAGTATCATGTCAAGAACTATGAACACAGAATATGGAAAAAGATGGTATCTTTTAGTTAGACTTCTTGAGTGATGTGAAATTTTGACATTCCTGAACAGCAATAGGAGAAAAAAAAAAAAAAAAACCAGAACAAATGAGAAAGAGAAAGCAATGTAAGAGTAAGGTTAAAAGCAAGAGTAAATCAAGTCAGCATGTTAAGAAAGTGACCACAGAAGTATATCAATCATCCAGAAGGTACCTTTGTTCAGAAGAGGAAGGAAGTCAGGTGCCTTTTCCCGAAAAACCCTTTGAGCATCCTCAGCTTCCATGGTCACTTCCTTTCATGGTCACTTCCTTTGTCTGAACTAGGAAAAAGCCTTTACCATCCATCTGGAAAAGAAAATTTCATTTATATTTTACAATGAAGTTCTGAGACTAAAACAATATTTCTCTATTCTAGTTTTTTCTGTATAAAATGTAACACAGCACACTGATTTTTGTTTTGGTTATAAGACTACTTCAGGGTGTTTGCTGTAACAAGTTCTCATACATGGGCTATTCTTCCAGATGGGGAGGTTCTGGTGAATAATTAAATAAATATGAATTTTCCCTAAAAATGACAACATAATTAATTTTTCACTGAAACTACCAGATAGAAGTTTTAGTTTGGTGATACTGCAAATGTCCAATGAGTAAGCAAATTATGGTACATTCACATGATTAAATTTCATGGTTTATTATACTTATAGCTTATGAAATACAACAAAATAATATAATGGAAAGAAGCTTATATAATAATGTTAATAGTTAAAAGACCGATACAAATTTGTATATAGCATAGCACAATTACTGATAGATCACATTTATGGAGCACTTAACTCTATGTCAGGCAGTTGTATCATTACCCATACACTATATTTACTCCTTCATGAAGTATGTACTATTATTACCTTCATTGTACCAATGAGAAAACTAAGACACAGAGTGGCTTTAAAAATCTTGCCCATGGGACCAGCAGATGGTGTAATGGCTACATTGCTGGACTTCCATGTAGTTTACGTGGTTCGAGTCCCCGACCTGGTGGCTTAAACTCTCGCTGGGTACGTGTGCATGCATGCTCAAAATCCCAAGAGGAGAATGGAGGAGAAGGGACTGTAGCATGGCCATCCCCCCTGGGGGGTAATTTGGCGATTTCTCTCTCGCTCTCTCTCTGTCTTTCTGGCGAGCACAAGCGCCCTATAACAAAAAACCTCTTAAAAAAATTGCCCTAGGACATATAATTATTAAGTAACAGAGTTGTGATTTGAACCCAATTAATCTACTTATAGACTAAATAAACTTAAAAATTACTGCTAAAGATTATTTAAAGTACAGTATAATTATGGATGATTTTAAAACTTACTTTTTCCTTCTGTGGCTCTCCATAATGAGTATGTCTTAATTTTAATAAGAATTATGAAAGTAGATTTTTGAAATGCAGTCATTCCAACCACTTCCTTTTTTTAAAGAGATATTTTCACTATAGAGCACATGCGCTCAACAGATAGAGAGACAGAGAGCGAAAAAATCACCCCCTAGAGGGGATGGTCACACTAAAATCCCTTCTCCATTCCCCTCTTGGGATTTTAGACACACACACGTACCCAGCTTGAGTTTTAAGCTGCTGGGTGGGGACTTGAACCGTGGTTGACTATGTGGGAATCCAGTGACATAACTATTACACCATCTGCTGGTCCCTCCAACCACTTATTTTTCAGCAAAGATTATTGGGTCTTTAATAATAAAAAGTAACATATCAAGGGCCAGTTCAGTGGCACAGCAGTAATGAGCTGCTCAAGGGAAGCTGAATTCATATATTGGGTTGTTGGAAAAGACACCATGCATTTTTGCATAGAAAAAATGTTATGACTTTGCTGACAATCTAATAGATGGTAGCAGGATTGATTTCCTGGTCAACCTGTATATGCCAAGCCCACGTGCCCATGATCTTGGTTAGCTGGAAGGGTTGAGGGGATCATAGTGTGAGAGCCTGTTGAGGGTGCATGTATCTGTCTCTCACTCTCATGAAAGAAATACACTTAAATCTTGTTCTTAATCAACTTCCTAGGATAACCGCAACTGTCAACATTTCAGAATATGTAACTTTCCGAATGTACCTACTTTCAAAAAAATCAGTTACATAATACTCTATACATTTTTATTTACTTGACTATATTTTCCAGTTGTCCTACTACAAAATCAGTTTTAATGGCTAATAGTATTTCATTCTATGGCTACATTATTCCATAAACCGACCAAATTCAAATCCTGTTTCAGAACTTTTCACTCAATGCTGCTTCAGAAAAAAGAACAGATGAAAAAATTGCAGAAAATTACAAGGACATCACTGCCAGAGAATGACTATAAACTTCCGTAACTATCAGAAACAATTCTACCTCTGTTTCTAATTTTCTAGACTGCTCATCATTGCTTAGACACACAAATTAACAAAATTATGATTATTAATTCAAAATAACCATTACCTAAAACAACTGATGAACTATGGAATGTCTATTTTAATATTTGGCTGCAAATATTCCTTATAGAAACTCCTTTTCATGAAAACTCTTGTATTGGGGCTGGCAGGTGTTGTGGTGGTTAAGGTGCTGGACTCCCACATGGCCAACCATGGTTTAAGTCCCAGACCTGGTGGCTTGCTTTCTCACTTTCCCTTTCTTTCTCTCTGGTCAAATTGAAAAATAAATAATAACAAATAAAATTAGATAAATAATTCTTTAAGAAAGAAGAAAGGAAAACTCTTATATCTTTAAAGACTTAAAAATAGTGGTAACCACCAATTTAAATGATGAATTACTCCTGAACAATTCAAACTACTTATACCCTACTCTATCTTATACATATTTGTGATGTAAAAGCAACAAAGAAATCTAATTTTTAGGTTAAAAAAGTCCCTAAAGCCCAATGAGTTCTCTGTTTTATTTTTTATTTTTAGGTTTTGCCATAGGGCGTGTGTGCTTCTCAGAGATAGAGGGAAAGTGAGAAATCACCCCCTAAGGGGATGACCATGCTGCAATCCCTTCTCCCCCATTGTCCTCTTGGAATTTGGGGGACGTGTGCACATGGAGCCAATGTGAATTTCAAGCTGCCGGGTCTGGCCCTGAATCTGGACTTGAACCAGGACTTGAACCATAGTCAGCCATGGAGGAGTCTAGCATCTTAACCCACTACTCTACCTTCTGGCATCTCTTTTATTTTTTAAGATGGGGTCCTTCTGTGCTATAATCCTCCTGCCTCAGCCTCCCTAGCAGCTGGAACCAGAAGCACATGAAACTATGCCCAGCTCTTTCAGACAGGGCCGTGCTATGTTACCCAGGCCAGCCTTGAGCTTATACTCCTGCCTCAGCCTTGCAAGTTGCTGGGGTTACAACTGCCTAACACTGCACCTGATTTTTCAGGATGGATGGGGAACTGAACTTGGGCTTCACAGGTGGTCTCAGCCTGCACCACACAGCATCTTAGCAGCACCACTGAGGCTGAGACCCAGTAAGTTCTCTTACTGGCTCCCTACAAATGTATTTTCTGCCCTACCCAGCCTTTCTAGACTTCCTACTCTCTCAAGTTTTGTACTTCCTATCTTAAGAATCTATATGGTATTTTAATGTATAAAAAGAATATTAAGCAAATTTTGTGATACTCCTAGGGTTTTTTTAAAGAGGTTTTTGCGATAGGGCGTGTGTGCACTTGCCAGACAGACAGAGAGACAGAAAGCGAGCAATCATCCCCCAGTGGGGATGGCCATGCCGCAATCCCTTCTCCTCCATTCTCCTCTCGGGATCTTGGGCACGCACGCACACGCGCCTGGCGTGAGTTTTCAGCCACCGGGGCTGGGACGCGAACCATAGTCGACTACGTGGGAGTCCAGTGACATAGCCATTATGCTAACTGCTGGTCCCAATACTCCTAGGGTTTCACAAAACTATAGCTACTAATCACAGTTTCAGTATAAACTGTTCTAAGTTATTTGTGCTGTGATATGAGAAAGACTGATGTTTCATTTTTTTTTCCCATCTCAGAATTAACTAGGATTTACAAATATTCCCCTGAAACCAAGCTTCATTTTTTAAAAATGTAATTTCTGTTGACATAATATTCAAATCCTTTGTCTTCAGCATGTTTAGATACTTTCTTCACATATATTTGCATTTTATTTTTTCTCTTTTTATTCATTAATTCTGTGCTTTCAGAATTGGTGATGGTAACTCTAGCCCATAGTCCCTAGGCTGGAGGGCCCTTCAGCCCACATGCTTTCAGTCATGTTCCTACATCACCAGGTATTAATTAGCTTTCCTTTATCACTGAGGCAGCATAACAGCATCGTGTTTAAGGTTAAGATGATGGCCTACAAGGCCAGATTGCCTGGATTTGAATCACCACTCTATTTACACACTGAATGACCTTTTGCAAGTTACCTTCTCCATGGTTCCTTTTCTATATCTATACAGTAAGGAATGATAATAATGGTACCTAATTCATACAGATGTTTTATGTATTGAGTTAATTCATTTAAATTCCTTACAACAGTGGCTGTCATTCAGAAAATGCTACATAAATTTGAACTATTATTATTATTACTGGTATTTTTGTTTATTTTAAATTCCAAAAAAACATCCAAAGAATATAATTTTTACTAGTCATATTCCTTGAGGGCATACAATATTGCCATTTCACACATGAGATACCAAAAGCTAAAAAATTAAGAACATTTGATGATTCATGAAGAAAGACTTTGTTTAGATGGGGTTTTCGTTTTTTTTAAAAAAATATACTATAGGGTATATGTGTTCACTGGAAAGAGAGAGGGGTGGGGGAGTGAGAGAGCAGCCCCTGGGGGAATGGCCATGCTGCAATATCTTCTCCATTCTTCTCTTGGGATTTTGGTGACACATGTATACACACCCAGCATGTCTTTCAAGCCACCAGGTTCAGGACTCAAACTGTGCAGACAGCCATGTAGGATCCAGCTGCCTTAACCACCATGCCACTGGATGGCTCTTGATGGTATTTTTTAAAAACATGCTAATATTCTTTATGTCCACTCCTTATTACCTACCCAAGGAGTTTAACCTGATGACTACATATTTTGAATATTGTACGTAGATTTTTTTTAAAAATCACCACACAGTATAATGAACCTGTTTGCCTCACTGATGTCAGATTAACACATGATTAGATGATAATTCAAAAGTCAGAAGCACATTTTTCTATATCTTACCAAATTTATAGCATACTTTTATAAGACTGACATAATAAGAAAGAAAATATCAAGGTCTTAACATTTTGTTTTGACTTCTGTTGTTTTGAAAATTATATGCTGTGAAGATATGCTGTGAAGATTTTGGACATGGGTGTTCTACCTTATAAAAGTAGAGCTACAGAAAGGTAGTCATTTTTAGTGTTTTTCCTAAAATAATTCCTTCTGACATATTCCAGTTTTAAAAAATCCATTAAAAAAGAGACTTAGTGAGTTTTATGTTCACTTCTTCATGTCTAGAAGCTAGATTTTTAAATTTAAACAAATTTCTTTTGAAGAACACCTGACTAATGGATAATCAATACATCCTACTGCTGTCTCCCTACCAGAGCACACACTAACAAAAAAACTGCTTTGAAGCACCTAATCTCTAGGTCTTCAATTATTTTTCAAGTAAAAACTGCTATTCAACGAACCCTGCTCTACTCATGAACTCATCAAGAGCCTACAACTTTAATCAAAGCTCTTAAGCCTACAACTTTTGCCTTCTGGCTTTTACACAGCCTCTATGGCAACAAGACAAAGGAGAATAAGTAATGTAATGTGGAAGTTGCTCTCATAGTCACAACAGGGTCCTAAAGTCATATTCCTAAACATCTTTCCTATTCTCTCACCATGAAACTTTGAAAGAAATTTTCCTACAAAAATTACAAAAGGTTATATGCATTACTAGGCACTACTATTTTTGTGAGCTTCTGAGGAAATCATTTTTTTAAAGAATGGAAAATTTTTGGTGGCAGGGAATTTTGTCTATGTATCTTCATCTACAGCATATACCATATTTCATCATTTCTTAGTCATTTTTAGTGTTTTTCCTAAAATAATTCCTTCTGACATATTCCAGTTTTAAAAAATCCATTAAAAAAGAGACTTAGTGAGTTTTATGTTCACTTCTTCATGTCTAGAAGCTAGATTTTTAAATTTAAACAAATTTCTTTTGAAGAACACCTGACTAATGGATAATCAATACATCCTACTGCTGTCTCCCTACCAGAGCACACACTAACAAAAAAACTGCTTTGAAGCACCTAATCTCTAGGTCTTCAATTATTTTTCAAGTAAAAACTGCTATTCAACGAACCCTGCTCTACTCATGAACTCATCAAGAGCCTACAACTTTAATCAAAGCTCTTAAGCCTACAACTTTTGCCTTCTGGCTTTTACACAGCCTCTATGGCAACAAGACAAAGGAGAATAAGTAATGTAATGTGGAAGTTGCTCTCATAGTCACAACAGGGTCCTAAAGTCATATTCCTAAACATCTTTCCTATTCTCTCACCATGAAACTTTGAAAGAAATTTTCCTACAAAAATTACAAAAGGTTATATGCATTACTAGGCACTACTATTTTTGTGAGCTTCTGAGGAAATCATTTTTTTAAAGAATGGAAAATTTTTGGTGGCAGGGAATTTTGTCTATGTATCTTCATCTCCAGCATATACCATATTTCATCATTTCTAAGTTTCCATTGATTGTAACACACATTTAAGATAAGCAAAAATACAGAAAACAAACATATATCCTATAATCAATGAAACATGTTATAGTAACTTGTGCATAAGAGGTGCTTAATAAATTCTCACTGAATCAAATTACTTATATATGTATACACACACACATATTTTTAAGAGGTTTTTGCCTTAGGGTGCCTGCACTTACCAGAGAGAGACACAGAGACAGAGACATGAGATGGAAAGTGAGAAATCACCCCGCAGGGGGTTGGAGACACTATAATCACTTCTCCATTCTCCTCCCAGGATCTTAGGCACATGCACACATGCACCTGGTGTGAGTTTCAAGCCACTGGGTCTGGGACTTAAATTGTGGTTGACCGTATTTGAGTCCAGCAACATAACCACTATTCTATCTGCTGTTCCCGATAAAATAATTCTCAAAAAGAGCTTATTTTAAACAAATAAATCCTTTGGACATTCAGGCAAAAAGACAAGACAAAATTATTTATAAAGAAAACAAAGTCAGGTTGTTGTCAGGCTTCTTTGACAGCAACAATTATGCCAGAAGACAATGGATTCACATATTTAAGATACTCAAGGGGAAAAAATGTGAGCCACAAATTTTGTATGTAAACTGACTTTCAAATATAAAAACAACGAATTGTTACGAATGTGTAGAATTCATGGAATATCATTCCTGTGAGTCCCTCCCAAGGAATCTACTATAGGACAAACTTTAGACAACCAAAAGAGCATTAATATAAGTACTAGTGATGGCAATTAAATATATAATTACCTATAGTACTGAGAATAAATGGTTATAAGAGAGATAGTATAGTACATGGTACTCACCCAGACACTTTGACGTTTACGTGGGAGTCCAGTGACATAGCCATTACGCTAACTGCTGGTTCCCCCTGAATTATATTTTTAAAAATTTCTTCAAGAAAGTATTTTGAAGTCCAAGCAACCTGCTTACAGACAAATCTATGAGAGGGAGGACAAAGGACTCTAACTTGAGGGATGTCTATATTGCTAATAGCCAACCTAAAAAGAAAGGAAGCTCTCTAGAGTGATGTATTCTATCTGGGTGTGTGTCTATTTCTCATTTTTCTCTCCTTACCTCGTCGATTAGTTTCCTGGCATTTGCAATAGTATAATCACCAGCAAATAACACCACTAAGCATGATTCATCATTGCTCTTCTGTCTCTGACCCCGGGATATTGGAACGATACTTCTACTGGCTTCTGTGGAAACACGGACAGCTTTGAGTTCTTCAGTAGTAGGTACAGGAACATAGTCTTGAACCACAGCATCTTCAGGAAGAAGGCTCCAGTTGAGCTCTCCTGACACAGGTGTAAAGTCATGAACGTTACTCCATGTATTATTGAAGATACTTAGCCCTGCATCTTTAAACTGAAAAGCTAATTCCGGGTAGTACCACTGAAAACAACCAAACTTGATATTTGTGGAAGATTCAATAATGGGTTGAGTGGCACAGCACAAAAAGACTTCCAGCTTTCTACAGTCCCGCACACGAAATTGTTGGCAGGCTAATGTGCACTTGCAATCTCTGCAATTCCGGAAAAACACACTGCCTTTCACAGGTCCCAAAAAAATTATGCAGTTAGTACAGTCATCAATGGTAACTGTAGCAGAATGGTCAAAAATATAGATGTTACAGTTCTCACAGTCTTGAATGAGAAATTGTTGTCCTGCCACTTTCCCAGGTAAGCGACCTACTGTTTCATCCTTCAATCCACTGAACATGTAGTCTTTCGGATCAACCTGCAGGGACAAAACACAGACCCTGAGTATTATTAACGTTATTCAACAAATATCAGTTAAGAGTCTATTAGATGCCAGGTTCAATTACTAGTTCTAAAATATAAATTTTTAATCTCACTGACTTTGCAATAAACAAAAGAAACAGATTTTTTTTTTCTCTCAATAACAGGCATGAGGTGGGAAAAAAAGAAAGGAGACTATTAAACATGAAGACTCAAGGACATAACCATCAAATACAATGTGGACCTTGTTTGGATCCTATTTCAAACAAACCAAATGTAAAAACACTTTTCTTAGACAACCAGAGAAATACAAACACATACACAGACACTCATATATTAGATGACACTAAGGAATTTATCATTTCGTTAGATATGATAATAGCTGTGCGGTTTTATGGGAAAAAGGAACATTATCAGTTAAAAATTTACAATATCCAACTGTGGGCCTAGCACTATGTGCAGGGAGGCTGCTGCTCAGTAGGCTGAGGCCACATGAGGGGCCTGAGTTTAATTGCCAGTCTTCCTTATAAAACCAGGCTTGATTGGTGTATAGCTGTGGTCCAAGCTATTTGGGAGGATGAGGCAGAAGGATTATGACATGGTAAGACCCTGTCTTAAAAAAAATAAAACAAAAAACTCACAAAATTAATAGATTAGTATATGGCATACCTACAGGAAGAAAATATGTACCTGGAGGACTTGAGTGCCCAGTTCCTCTGGAAACCTCAGTTCTCACTATAATATAAAACTTAGGATCTTGGTTAATAGATATACCTCCCAGGAGATGGATATATTATCCTTTTACTATCACATTGTTTTTCTGGAGATACAAAGCTAAATGGCAGCTTCAGTGACACTATGGTTTGAGTTTTCCCCTCAGTTAACCCAGGTGACACCCATGTCATTATTGCTACTGTCAACACACTAATAAACTAGTATAGTCTATATGGATTTTTTTTAATGCCAGAGGGTGCATATGCTCACCAGGGAGAGATGGAGCAAAAGAGACAGACAGATAGGCAGAAAGCACCCCCCTCCCAAATGGGTCACAATCACACCATGATCCCTTCTTTTCCATTTCTCCATCCTGTTGGGATGTTAGACATGTGCGCACGTGTGCATGCGTGCGCGTGCGCACGCGCACACACACACACACACACACACACACACACACACACACACACACACATCCTGCATGTTTGTCAAGATGCCGGGGCCAAGAGTCAAACCATGCTCAACCATGTGGGATCTAGCTCCCTTAACTGTTATGCTACATGCTGGTCCTGGAATTTTTTTTTTTTTTTCAGTTACTAGAGGGAATACATTCACCTGGAATTTTTATAACTAAATAATTTACTAAGCTTTTAGAAGTACCTGAGTCAAGAATATATTTTCAAATGATCATTTTAATAAGAGGGGCTATGAAAAATTCAACTTATATCCTATGTATCTGAACTATAGGTTGAGTAGCCTTAATCCAAAAATCTAAAATCTTGAAATGCTCCAAAATTTGAAACTTTTTGAGCACCAACATGGTACCACAAGTGGAAAATAACACACCTGACCCCATGTCATAGGTAACAGTCAAAATGTTGCAGTACAAAAATATTGTATAACATTACCTTCAGGCTATGGGTATTTAGGTGTATGTGAAAGAAATAAATTTTGTGTTTAGATTTAGGTCCCATCCCTAAGATGTCTCATCTGTAAATATCCCCAAATCTGAGAAAATCCAACACATTTCTCGTCCCAAGCATTTGAGATGAGGGATAATCAACCTGTATCTCAATTACCATCAATATATGCTATTTTGGCTTTCTAACACTCTTTTTCTGATGGTTTGCTTTTAAAACTTTACTTCTTTTAAAATTCTGAAATTATAAATAAAACCAGATTGAAATATTATTTCTCTATCCTTTCACAAATGTCTGGGTTGTCTCAGTTTCTAAACTCAGATTGTTTTCTACAATATGCTACAGAAATCAGAAAAACTGGACTGGCCAAGGTAGTCAGATCCCACGTGGCCAGCAGAGATTCAAATCCTGGTCTCAGAGGCTTAAAAACACACCAAGTATGGGACCAGCAGTTAGCGCAATGGCTATGTCGCTGAATTCCCATGTAGCCAAACGCAGTTCGAGCCCCGGACCCGGTGGCTTAAACTCACGCCGGGTGTGTGTGCGTGTGTGCCTAAGATCACAAGAGGAGAATGGAGTAGGGATTGTGGTGTGGCCATTCCCCCAAGGGGGTGATTTCTCGCTTTCTATCTCTCTGTCTCTCTCTGTCCTTCTGGCAAGCGCATGTGCCTTATAGCAAAAACCTCTCAAAAAAAAAAAAAAAACAAAAAAAACACCAGGTGCGTGCATGCCTAGAATCTCAGCAGGATGGAGAGATAGAGGAGAAGGATTGCTGCATGACACACTCCACTGGGGGACAGTTTTCCCCCTCCCTTTCTATGGCAAGTGCACATGCCCTGACAGTTAAAAAAAAGAAAGGAGAAAGAAAATGGAAGAGCCTGAAGACATAAGAACCACAACATGTCAGTGCTTGCATCTACAAATTTGATTCAAATATGTACGAGGTACTTCTACAGTGCAATTTTCCAAATTTCACCATATTCATCCTTAGACAGTGTAAATTATATGTTCACATAATCTTTTTGATAGTGTGCCTGGAATCTGCCACTTAATTTTTGTGAAAAATAAATAAATTGTTATTTAAGCAAGCCAGTCAATGGTATTTTGTTACGGCAGTCTTAAGTTTGTCTTCTCATTGTGCCCTCACATAGCCTTTCCTCTGTGTAGTGAGGAAGAGGGAGGGAGGGAGTGTGCTAGGTCTCTGGTGAATCTACATATATGGACACTAATCTTATGGAATCATCATTCCATCGTTATGACCTCATTTAACCTTAAATACTTTCTGAGAGGCCCTATCTCCAAATAATAGTCATGTGTTGCTTATGTTCCAAGAAATGTGTTGTCAGGCAATTTTGTCATTATGCGAACATCATAGCGCATACTTAAGCAAACCTAGATGGTACAGCCTACTACATGCCCAAGCTATATATATAACTATTACTCCTATGCTACAAACCACACAGCATGTTACTGTACTGAATAGTGATTGCAATTGAAACATAATGGTAAGTATTTGTGTATCTAAACATAAACATCATAGAAAAAGTACAGTAGAAATATGATATAAAAGATTTTTTTAAAATGGTACATCTGGGGACCAGCAGTTAGCGTAATGGCTAGGTCGCTGGACTCCCACGTAGTCGACCGCGGTTCGAGTCCCGGACCTGGTGGCTTAAACTCACGCCGGGTGTGTGTGCGTGCGTGCCCAAGATCCCGAGAGGAAAATGGAGGAGAAGGGATTGCGGTGTGGCCACCCCCCCTGGGGGGGTGATTTCCTGCTTTCTGTCTCTCTGTCTCTGTCTGTCTGGCGAGTGCACGCGCCCTATAGCAAAAACCTCTCAAAAAAAATGGTACATCTGTTTAGGGCACTTCTCATGAATGGGGCTTACACGACTGGAAAGGCCTAGGATATTATTGTCCACTACTATAGATTTATAAACACAATATACTTAGGCTACACTAAATTAAAATTTTTTTCAATAATAAATTAATGTTGGCTTACTGTAACCTTTTTACTTGTTTTATTTTCTTAGTTTGATATAGGGCACTTATGCTCACCAGAGAGAGAAAGTGAGAAATCACACCCCTAGGTGGATGGCCATACCACAATCCTTTTCTTCCTCTCTCTTCTAGGGATTTTGGGCATGCATGCACACGCATCCAGCTTGTTTTCAAGCCACCAGCTCTGGGATTCAAACCACACAGTCAACCATATGGAATCCAGTCACCTTAACTTCCATACCACCTGCTGGCTCATAAACTTTTACATTTTTTAAAAAACATTATGATTCTCTTCTAAAGACATTTTGCTTAAAACAAAAACGCATTGCACAGCTGTACAAAAATATTTTCTTTATATCCTTGTTCTATTAGCTTTTTTACATTTTTAAAATGTTTTTCTTTTTAAAACTTTTTTCTTAAAATGTAAGACAAAAACATACACATTAGCCTAGGCTTATACATGGTAAGGATAATCCAAATCACTATCTTCTACCCTTTCATCTTGCCCCACTGAAGGCCTATGATGAACAAAACAACATGAGATTAAATCAAGCACACAAGAAAAATGATGCAATCAAGAGACCATAAACACAAGATGTCTGAGGCTGCTGCCAATATAACATGATGTACTGTTTTATAGTAAACTTAATTTTTTTAAATAACTAGTCGATAATAATGATAAATAGTATGGTAAATAAACCAGTAACACAGTTATTTATTATCAAGAATTATATACTGTACATAATTGCCATGCTATACTTTTTAGGACTAGCAGTACACCAGGTTTGTTTATACCAGCATCACTACAAACATGTGAGTAATGCATTGTACTATATTATGATAGCTACATCATCAGTAGGCAATATGAATTTTTCACCTCCATTATAATCTTATGGGACTATCTTCATCTATGTGGTCCACTGTAGATCATTATGCAGTGCATGACATGGGGGAGGGTTAGGGCTTTGACATATAAATGTGACAAATATTCAGTCTGTAACAGCTGTAAATCGGAGGAGTTACATGTAATTTACTATCATTCTAAGTATTTTCTCTGTTTATTCCAGTTTTCCTAACTTATGGGGGAGAAACTAATCCTATAGCTAAAGATTCTCTAGTTAAATAGTTCCATAGTATATAATTACTTAGATTGTCAACATGGTCTTCAAAGAAACAGGATTTATGGGCCAGGAGGTGGCATGGTGGTTAAGGTGCTATATTCCTACATAGCCAACCGCGGTTTGAGTCCCGGACCTGGCAGCTTGGAAATCATGTTGGGCACGTGTGTGTGTGTGTGTGTGTGTGTGTGTGTGTGTGTCCCAAAAAGAATAGAGAAGAATTGTGATATGGCTATCCTCCTGGG